CTCACTGTCCACTCTGCCTGTCAAAAAAAAAAAAAAGTAAACAGCAAACTCCCAAAGCAAGAATGAGTAGAGAGAAATGAGAAAGAACGAAGTAACGAACTTCCCCGCGAACTCTCCAACGCACTCTCCAACCAACCCACACCACCATGCCGTCTCTCTCCTCCTATATAGTCCTCCTCCGCCAATCCCAACTCGGCTGCCCACACGCCAAGCACGCCGCTCTCCTCCAATCAGGAGCAGCTCCTGCAGCTTGTCAAGTTGGTGAGAGGCAGCTGGGTAGAAGCTGTTTACTCCTCTCCCAGCGCCATATTGTGGGAGAGCAGATGCATAGAATAAGTCTTAATTCCAGTAACAGTCTAGTCCGAGTTGCTCCCCACAATTTAGTATTTTATCTGAAAGTCAGAGAGAGGGAGAGACAGAGTGAGTTGTTTTTTTTTTTTTTTTTTTTTTTTTTTTTGACAGGCAGAGTGGATAGTGAGAGAGAGAGACAGAGAGAAATGTCTTCCTTTTTGCCGTTGGTTCACCCTCCAATGGCTGCCACTGCTGGCGCACTGCGGCTGGCGCACCGCGCTGATCCGAAGGCAGGAGCCAGGTGCTTCTCCCGGTCTCCCATGGGGTGCAGGGCCCAAGCACTTGGGCCATCCTCCACTGCCTTCCCGGGCCACAGCCGAGAGCTAGCCTGGAAGAGGGGCAACCGGGAAAGAATCCGGCGCCCCGACCAGGACTAGAACTCAGTGTGCCAGTGCCGCTAGGTGGAGGATTAGCCTATTGAGCCGTGGCGCCAGCCAAGAGTTAAATCTTTTATTTGTTGGTTTATTCCCCTACTTGCCCATAACAGCTCGGGCTGGGCCAGGCTGAAACCAGGAGCCTAGAACTCAATCCAGACCTCCCTTGTGGGTGACAGGGACCCAGTTGTTTGAGCCATCGTCTGCTACCTTCCAGGGTGAACATAACAGGAAGCTTGGGGCTGCCACTGTGGCGTAGCAGGTAAAGCCGCCACCTGCAATGCCAGCATCCCAAATGGGTGCCAGTTTGAGTCCCGGGTGCTCCACTTATGATCCAGTTTTTTGCTATGGCCTGGGAAAGTGGAATAAGATGGCCCAAGTCCTTGGGCCCCTGCTCTGCCATGGGAGACCTGGAAGAAGCCCCTGGTTCCTCACTTCGGATCAGCTCAGCTCCAGCTGTTGTGGCCATTCAAGAGTGAACCAGTAGGTGGAAGATTTCTCTTTCTGTTTCTCTCTGCCTCTGCCTTTCAAATAAATAAGTAAATCTTAAAAAACAAAATAAAACAAAAAACAGGAAGCTGGATTGGAAGCAGAGGAGCCACGACTCAGACCAATAACTTTAGTATGGAATGCAGGCATCCCAACAGTAACTCAACTGCTGCACCAGACTCTCACATCTTTCCTTCCCTTTCAGTGCTGGGTAATATTGTCTTGTGTATATACACTATATTTTGTTTTTCTATTTATCCATCAGTGGACTTTCAGTTGTTGCCACCTCATTGCTATAGTGCATAATGCTGCTGTGAACAGGGGTATGTAGTATCTGTTTAAGACCCTCCTTTCAAGTGTTTTGAATGTACACCCGTAAGTGGGATTGCTGGATCATATGGAATTCTATATGTTTTCTTTTTTTTTTTTTTAAGATTTATTTATTTGAAAGGCAGAGTTACAGAGAACGAGAGAGAGAAAGAAAGAGATAGATAGAGAGAGAGAGATCTTCCATCGCTGATTCACTCCCCAGATGGCTGTAATGCCCAGGCTGGGCCAGGCCAAAGCCAGGAGTCAGGAGCTTCTTCCAGGTCTCCCCTGTGGGTGCAGGGGTCCAAGCATTTGGGCCATCTTCTGCAACTTTTCCAGGCACATTAGCAGAGGGCTGGATTGGAAGTATTGCAGCCAGGACTCGGACCAGAATCTATATGGGATACCAGTGCTTCAGGGCTTGGCTTTAACCCACTGAGACAAAGCACCAGCCCCTATGTATTTTTTTTTTTAATTTTATGTATTTGAGTGGCAGAGGGAGAGGCAGAGACAGAGATCTTCTTCTATCTTCTGGTACACTCTCCAAATGCCCCTAACAGCTAAGGTTGTACCAGGCTGTGCCTGGGAACAAAGGACCCAGTCCAGATTGCCTGCAGTCATCAGCCAACTGTGGGTTAGCAAGAAGCCGGAATCAGGAACATGGCTGGGACTCCATCCTAGGCGCTCAAAAATCAAATGCAGGTGTCCTAAGTGGCATCTTAACCACTACACCTGCCTGCCCTGGGGATTCCCTTCTTCACTTTTTGAGGAATGTGCACATTGCATCCTATAGCAACTGCCCCATTTACAACAATGTATGGGGTGGTGCAGGAGGAGATGGCAGTGTGGCACAGGTGTTAAGCAGCCAATTGTGATGCCGGCAGGGTGCCAGGTCAAGTCCTGGCTGCTTTGTTTCCAATCCAGCTTCCTGCTAATGCGCCTGGGAAGGTAGCTGTAGATGACCCTAGTGCTTGGACCCCTGCCACTGTGTGGGAGACCAGGATAGAGTTCTTGGCTCCTGGCCCAGACCTGGCTGTTGTGAGCATTTGGGGAATGTACTCAGGGATGGAAGCACGCTCTCTCTCTCTCTCAGTCTGCCTTCCAAAACGGAATTTCCAAAGAGCAACTGAAGAAATAATCATCCTAACAATGATGGAAGAAATCAGCCAAAGCAAGCCCTGCATCCTGTAGAAATGTACCTAAATGGTTGTAATCAAGCCCTTCTCAAAAGTTCTTTTGCTCTGGAACACAAATGAAAGAAGATTCTAAAGAGATTAGTTTCAAATTCACAGCAAGTACCAAAAACACCTGATTTGCCAAACAGGTTGGGGTTTGCCATTTTGCTGTTTGGAAGTTAACGTGTCTTGCTAAAAGAGGTAAGGGCTTCTCCAACAAAACAAGATGAGTCCCTCACATTCAAGTCGTATTCTTCACTTTTCAGAGCCTGCTGGTCCATTTCCTATTGGAGCTACACCTAGGTTCTGTGGCAGAAACAGGACATGGAGTATTGTACCCCTTTTTCAGATGAGGATCCTGAGGCTTGGGAAAGATACCCTGAGTGTTCTCCCAGCCAATGGTGAGCCTAGCCCTCTGATGTCCCAGCCCTGTGTTCTTCCGCTTGGGCCCCACTCTCTGTTTTGCAAACCTGCCCACCCACCCAGGGAACCTTCTGGGTTCAAGAGGATCAAAAAACACCAACACTCGGTAGATGGCAGTTACAGAGTCACAGACGTTTATTTATCATCCTCCCAGGATGGATTAACACTTGAATTCTCCCAAAAGCATGATGACTGTGCCTGTTTTATGCAAGAGGAAGCAGAAGCACAGAGAGGTTTCAGGGCTTACTCACACAGCAAGACTGCAGTACTGGGATTCCACCCAAGCAGCCTGGCCAGAAGCCCAGGCCCTTCACCCCTCTGCTAGTTACACCATGCTGCTGATTAAAGAACTTTCCAAACAAAGCTGTTTATTGACAGATGAGCAGCCCCGATAGGCAGTGAGGCCCCTATTCTAAGCACTTCCAGTGAATCAAAGTGGAGGAATATTTAAAGGGCTCTTAGGCTTAAGGGAGAGTGTGAGGTCAAGCATGCTGGAAGATTCCTTCTAACCCAGGACTTGATGAAATCGCTTATAGATTCCAGCCTTTCAGATGAGGACGGTGACAAATGTTCCTGGCCTTTGGGCTTCCTGATTGAGCATGCTTTCGCAGCCCGCCCAACCTGCCCACCCTCCTCTACTCATTGGCACTGGGATCAATGAGCTGGGAGAACAGGTGGCTGTGCTATGCGTGGCTCATCATGGAAATCTGACAGCGTGGTCCTCAGCCCAGAGACTGGGGAGGAGGGACAGCAGCGTACTAAATTGCAGGGTGTCTGCTGTCCGATTAGATCAGTGCACTGTGTGCAGTGCTGCGGAGATACAACATGCCAGGCTCACTCCTGGGCTCCAGGCCCAGCTGTTAGTCACAGAGCTGCAGCCAGAGCTCCCCGGGCCCTCAGCAGCACCTCACTCGACCACTTCATCCCATGCATTGGGCTGTGGAGGCCCAGAGAGGGGGAAGCAACTTGCTAGAGGTCACACAGCATTCATGCAACGTATCACTGTGCTTGGCCCCAGGGATACTAAGGGTGAGCAGAACAGCCACGAGCTCCACTCTCACAGAGCTCATCCATTAGTGGAGCAGGAAAACACACAAAGTCAGAGATTGCCAACTGTGCTCTGAGGAACACAAAGTACTGCAAGTTGATCCGAGGAGGTTTCTCTGAGAAGGGGCTGCTTAAGCTGAGGCTTGAAAGAAAAGGAGCAAGCACCCTTTTGGCCTTTTGCCATTGTGGGCCCGTGCTGCCCCTGCACCTAAAGGGAGTATGGCCTTTGGGCCACCCCCTCATGCTTCCTGGCCTACATGCTCCTCCACATGGCTGGCTCCTGACAGTTGAGGCCAGCACTGTAGCATAGTGGCTAAAGCCACCACCTACAGTGCCAGCATCCTATATGGGCACTGGTTCAAGTCCCAGCTGCTCTATTTCCAATCCAGCTCCCTACTAATGTGCCTGGGAAAGTAGTGGAAAATGGTCCAAGTCCTTGGGCCTCTGCATCTATATGGGAGACCTGGAAGAAACTCCTGGCTCCTGGCTTCAGACCTGCCCAGTCCTGACCATTGCAGCCATTTGGAGCCATTTGGGGAGTGAACCAGCAGATGGGAGATACCTCTCTCTCTGCCTCTCCTCTGTAACTCTTTCATACAAATAAAATAAATCTTTAAAAAAAGAAAAAAGGAGAAGAGGAACAGGCAGTGTTGGGGAAGACTGGGAGAGGTGGGAGCGCAGCGGGAATGCTGTCCTGGGATGAGGAGTTGGCACAAGGCAACAGCTGTATGAGGCAGGCGGGGGAGGGGGACAGGAAGTGGAATGGGTCTCCTGGGCCAAGGTGAGAGGGCTGGAGCTTACACTTGTTGCTCAGGAAGTTATTGGAGGGCTCTTTTTGTTTTTGTTTTTGTTTTTGCCAGAGAGTGGCAGACATACTGTAATGCTTCCTGCTCTTCTCAGGTGTAGGGCTCCCAGGAGCCATTACCTTGGAAGTTTTCAGAAAACACAATAGGCAGTGCTGCCCATGCAAAATGAGTTGGATTTTCTTTATCTTATTTTTTTTTTAAGATTTATTTATTTGCAAGTCAGAGTTACACAGGGGGAGGAGAGGCATAGAGAGAGAGAGAGAGGGTCTTCCATCCGATGGTTCACTCCCCAATTAGCTACAACAGCCAGAGCTGCATCAATCCGAAGCCAGGAGCCAGGAGCTTCTTCCAGGTCTCCCACGTGGGTGCAGGGGCCCAAGGACTTGGGCCATCTTCTACTGCTATCCCGGGCCACAGCAGAGAGCTGGATGGGAAGAGGAGCAGTCAGGACTAGAATCTGCACCCATACAGGATGCCGGCACTTCAGGCCAGGGCATTAACCCACTGCGCCACTGTGCCACAGAGCCAATCCCAGGATTTTCCTTTTCTTAATCTAGTGATTTCTACACACTTTGCCACATCACTCACCTTCATTTGTAGTTCCTTGTTCTTACCACTGCTTTCAAACAGACCCAGAGATCCAGATGCTGTGGGAAGTTGCAAACCTCACCGATCCAGTGACTGTCCCGGGCATCAGCAACTGGGCGGCTCCATCACCTTGCAGCCTCACTCCTGTGGTCCGTGTGCATTCTTTTTGCCAGTACAGGCAGGACATAACATACAGTGCTATTGAGATAGCTCAGATGGGGCCTGCATTATGGTGCAGCAGGTCAAGCCACCATTTGCGAGCTGGAATCCCATACTGGAACACTAGTTAGAATGCTTGTATGTCTGGGCTGCTCTGCTTCCCATCCAGCTTCCTGCTAGTGCTGGGAAAGCATCAGGTGATGGCCCAGGTACTTGGGTCCCTGCCACCCATGTGGGATATCTGCATGGGGTTCTTGTTTCCTGGCTTTGGCTTGGTCCACAACTGGCTGTTGCGGCCATTTGTGGAGAGAACCAGTAGATGGATGAAAGATCCCCCCGCCCCCGTCTTGCCCTCTCTTTCTGTTGCTCTGGAACATTTAGACTTTTTTTTAGATAAGGGAAAACTGAAGTCCAAAAAGGGGAAAAGATCCATAGAAAGTAGCAGCAGAGCCGGTATTGGAAGGCAGACCATTTCCTGTGTAACACTTCCTGGGACTGCACCTGCAGAAAGGGAGACAGTGTCACAAACCTGAGCTAGGGTTCTCAGAGGGGGTTCTACTGAACACTGGACCCAGGGGATCTGGTCTGCATCACTAAGTTTGGGGGTGCTATAGTCACTGCTTCCTTCCTAAAGGTTCACCATGAATATTACAGGCCCTGAAACATCCTGCAGCAGAGCTGCCGTTAACATTGCCCAATGGTTCCCCAAGGGATTGAATGGCAGAGTGCATCTTGGTGTATATTTATTTACATTCTATGGAATTCTCCTTGAGGAAAAAAAAATTCCTCTATCTATAGGCTCAGGGTAATGGTGTCATAAATGTTAGCTGTTACTCTTAGGACTATTATTACGATGGGGGCTGGGGCCACACTTCATACTCAGGCTTGTGTGATGTCATCTCCCTCCAGGTGTCTTGTATAGTGCTCAGACTTCACAGGTGACGCATGTCAGTTAATCAACAAACCCTGGCAGTTTGTGTTGACTCTGGACCCCCTGGGTCACACATCCTCAGTGAAGTAAAGGACAACTAATTTCTTTCATCTTTCAAGGAAATAGCCTGAGGAATCTTAGTAAGGATGCTCAGAAATATCTTTGAAGGTCACCAAATGCAAAAGCAGTTCTCCCTATTCTCTGCTCTTTTTTTTTTTTTTTTTTTTTTTTTTTTTTTGACAGGCAGAGTGGACAGTGAGAGAGAGAGAGAGAAAGAAAGGCCTTCCTTTTCTGTTGGTTCACCCCTCAATGGCCGCTAAGACCGGTGCGCTGCGGCCGGCACACCACTTGATCCGAAGCCAGGAGCCAGGTGCTTCTTCTGGTCTCCCATGCATGTGCAGGGCCCAAGCACTTGGGCCATCCTCCACTGCCTTCCCGAGCCACAGCAGAGAGCTGGACTGGAAGAGGAGCAACTGGGACAGAATCCGGCGCCCCAACTGGGACTAGAACCCGGGGTGCCAGCACCACAGGCGGAAGATTAGCCTAGTGAGCCGCGGCGCCGGCCTGCCCTCCTTTTTAATATGAACAAAACCTCCTCCTCAGTTTCAAGTTCTAACTCAGGTCCAGCCACCTCCCGGAAGGCTTATCTGACTACCTCCTCCCTGTCTTTCTCACCTGTGGTCCTCTCTGCTCTCTTTTTAGTCTCTTGGACTTGTCTGCAACAGGTGTTTGGTGACTGGCCTGCCTTCATTCTGTGCTGGATCTAAATGAGGGTATTATCTGGAAGTCCCATGAGAGGAGGCGCAGGGACATGAGGCTCTCTGATGTGTGCTGGGCTTACCTAATCACATTTAAGTTCAATTAAAAGAAATACCATGTGGGCCAAAAATCACATGCCTGTGAACTGAAATTGGACTAACAGCTTGCAATAGCTAGGATACTCTGGTGGGGAAGGGGCCTGGATTTGGAATTTTGAGAAGTCCTGAAGCTCCTGCTAAATGGCAGCCTGACTCCAAATGAAACATCTCAGCTTTTTGAGCCTCAGTGTTCTCATCTATAAAATGGAGTAACAATTGTTCTGCCTTCTTTGTGGGATTTGAAGAATGCTTTTCTTGACTATGCCAGTGACCATGACCCCCTTGATGAAAACAGCAAACATTTATCCAGCACTTAACATGTAGCACGCACTGTATTAAGCACTTTGGGTACCTTATTCAATCCTCAGGGGGAGGTGCTGTTGTCAACCCTATTTTACATTTGAGGATACTGAGGAGACGGAGGCAAAGGAAGTTGCCCAAGGTTACGGAGATGGTGGGTGGCAGAGCTGGGACTGCGGAACACTTTCACAAATAGTTAGTTCACTTAATCTTCTCCTAGGCATGATGAATTTAGCAGGCAAATATTTCCCTTTTCACCGTTTTATAGATGGAGATGCCGAAGCTCAGAGAAGCAAAGTGACTTGTCTGAGGTCACACAGCTAGAAAGTGTACAAAGCTGGGCCTAAACCCAAATCCTTTGCCCTTTTTTTCTGTGTCACATGTACCGGACAGACAAGTGATCTATGAAGAGAACAATGTGCTGGTGTAGGGAGTTTTGTTCCCTGGGGCAGGGACTATGTCTTGTCCTTTATTGTTTCCAATCCAGTCCCTGGGGAAAGGGCCTTCTGTCCTGGAGATGGGTGCTCATGTCTGACCAAGTGACAGTTCTGTTGAGTAATCCTGCCCTGTGACCAGTTACAGTCATGTTGCCAGGGAAATCGTCTCCTGCCTTCCTTCTGACTGCTTACTTCCCCTTGTCTCCATGGACGTCGATGTTTCCTTTAACTTGTTTTCATCTGCTTGAAAGGCAGAGTAAGAGAGAGCGCCTGCGCTAAACTTACCTGGTTTACTCCACAAATGCTTGCAACAGTCAGGGCTGTGCCAGGCCAAAACCGATTCCTGGAGTTCCTAGATGGAACTCTAACCAGGCCTCCCGTGTGGGTAGCAGAGATTGGAAGCAGAACAGCAGGGACTCAAACTGGCATTCAGATATGAGATGTGGGCATCCCAAGCAGTGGCTTAACCTGCTTTACCACAACGCCTGCCCTTGGAATGTTTTCTAACCCTAGAATGTTTAAACGTGGTTGTGTGAGTTTGTCAGACTGGGACATTTTTGCATTTTCTATGTGTGCTACCTGTCTCCTGTGGTGTACTTAGAGCTCTGGGATGGGAGGGGTGAGGTCTGGGTTCTCACCTTGCTTCTGCTGCCCTGACATGAGGGAGCAAGTCACTTCACTTCTGTGGGTCTCAGCTGCCAGCTGGGGACTATCACATCTGTTCTGCCTCCACCAAAACTCTCTGGGAAATACACAGTGTGATATAAATAGAAGATTGTTCACTGTAATATAAGGCACACCATAGGTGCTCAATAGATAATACTTAACCGACTCCAGGGATAGAATTTACAATAACGTGTGGATAGCACTTGTGATACAAAGTCAAGGAAGGAAAAAATAAAACAAGAAGTAAAATTTCCATATGTGCAGTGCAGTTTCAATTATGGAAATACATGTAGAAAAAAGACTAGAGGAAAATACACCATTGTATTGCCAGTGATTGCCTCTGGGTTGTAGACTTATATGTAGCTGTTTTTTGTGTGTGCGTGTTTTTTTTTTTTTTTAATTCACTTATTTGTTTATTTGAAAGAGTTAGAGAGAGAGAGAATCTTTGATCTGCTGGGTCACTCCCCAAATGGTCGCAACAGCCAAGGGTAGATCAGGCCAACACCAGGAGCCAGGAGCCTCATCCAGGCCTCCTCTTGAGTGGAAGGGGCCCAAACTATTGGGCCATCTGCTGCTTTTTCCAGGCACATTAGCAGGGAGCTGGATTGAAAGGAAGAGTAGCTGGGATATGAACTAGAGCCCATACAGGATGCCAGTGTCATAGGCGGAAGCCTTACCTCCTACATCACAATACTGGCCTCATGAGTTTTGCTTTGCTAGATTCAGACATTGTTTTCTCTGTTCTGTTAAAATTAGCACATTTAATTTTTACATTTTACCATTTGAAAGATCTATAGTTTAGCACATGGCCTCTGATGGTATTGCCCTTATTTCTAAAACTAATGTGATCAGGAGGGATCCTGGATACATTCGTTCTTTCCTTTGTTCAGAAAACAGGCTCAGAGTGTTTGCTCTGCATAAGTCACTCTTGATGAGTACTACAAATGACACTGAGAAGAATGAGGTATGACTCCTGTCTTCAAGAAATATAATCTAGGGGCCGGCACCGTGACTCACTTGGTTAATCCTCCGCCTGAGGTACTGGCATCCCATGTGGGCGCCGGTTCTAGTCCTGGTTGCTCCTCTTCCAGTCCAGCTCTCTGCTGTGGCCCAGGAAGGCAGTGGAGGATGGCCCAAGTGCTTGGGCCCTGCACCAGCATGGGAATCGGCACAGCGCCGGCCGTAGCAGCAATTTGGGGAGTAAACCAAAGGAAGGGAGACCTTTTTCTCTGTCTCTCTCTCTCTCACCGACTATAACTCTACCTGTCAAATAAATAAATAAACAAACAAATAAATAAATTCTAGGGGGAGGAAGTTATGGTGCAGCAGGTTAAACAATTGCTTGTGACACCTTCATTGTATATCGTAGTGCTGGTTCTAGTCCTGGTTCTTCTGCTTCTGATCCAACTCCCTGCTGATGCATCTGGGAAGCAGCAAAATGATGGCCCAAGAACTTGAGTTTCTGCCACCAGGAACTCCCTAATGGAGTTCTTGGCTCCTGGCTTTGGCCTGGCCCAGCACTGGCTGTTGCAGCCATTTGGGGAGACTCAGCCTTTCAAATTCAACAAACGAACAAATAAAATCTTTTAAAAAAGTCATAATCTAGGCCGGTGCCATGGCTCACTAGGCTAATCCTCCGCCTGTGGCACCGGCACTCCGGGTTTTAGTCCCGGTTTGGGTGCCGGTTCTGTCCCGGTTGCTCCTCTTCCAGTCCAGCTCTCTGCTGTGTCCCGGGAGTGCAGTGGAGGATGGCCCAAGTGCTTGGGCCCTGCACCTGCATGGGAGACCAAGAGGAAGCGCCTGGTTCCTGGCTTCAGATCGGCCATTTGTGGGGTGAACCAATGGAAGGAAGACCTTTCTCTCTCTCTCTCTCTCTCTCTCTCTCACTGTCTAACTCTGCCTGTCAAAAAAAAAAAAAAAAAAAAAGTCAAAATCTACATGGAGTACAGGACATACTCATAAGTAACCATAACTTAATGGATAAATGAAAAAGTTGCTTTAGGGAAATTTCCACTAGGAGTAAAGAATGGGGAGAAATCTAGATTTTTGTGAAGAAGTTGGCATTTTATGCTGAGTGTTGAAGGATGAGTAGACAAATGGAAATGGAAAGACATTATTGGTGACAATAAAAATAATTACACCTAATATTCACTTAGCACATACCATGTACCTGGCATTCTGCTATCAAATTACACATCTTGGGGTAGATGTTTGGCCTAGAGGTTAAGGTGCCAGTTAAGAGACCCTTATCCCATATATCTGGCTACCTGAGTTTGAGTCATGGTTCTGGTGTCCAATTCCAGCTTCCTG